CAAGAAAGACACGTTTAACAGAACGTGGAGAAAGTTTAATTGAAGAGGAAGCAGAAAAATTGGGATAACACGTGCACCCAAACACACATAATAAGTTGTAATCAAGGGGTCGTTGAAAAAGAATGTCATATGGAGAGACACCAAAAAGATTAGGAGTAGGAAGCCTGTTAATTATATATGCAGCAGTAAAGATAGCATCAACCCAAAAGGTGCTAGGAATAGAGGCTGTGAGAAGCATAGTCCTAGCAAATTCTAAAAGATGTCGGTGTTTGCGTTCTGCAACACCGTTTTGTTTTGGAGTATAAGGACAAGATTTTTGAAAATAGATGCCATTGTCAGAAAAAAATTGTTGCATAGGAGAATTAACAAACTCACCCCCTCCATCACTTTGAAAAATTTTAATTTTAGTATTAAATAAATTTTCAACTAAAATTTTAAAGGAACGAAACTGAGAAAAAACTTCATTTTTAGTGCGCAAAGGAAAAACCCAAGTATAGCGAGAAAAATCATCAATAAAACACACATAATATTTAAAACCTAAATTAGAAAGGACAGGGGATTGCCACACATAAAAATGAATTAATTGTAAGCGTGCAGAAGAAGTATGAGTAGCATCCGAAAAAGGTAATCTTTGAGATTTTCCCAAACGACAAGAAACACAATCATGTTCAGAATGAGTTTCGCCACAATGTCCTAATCTACGGTGCCACACAGGGCCAGGGGTAGTGATGGAAGCTAGAGCTAGAGGTGAAGTCGTACTGAGGCTGACAGGATAGAGATGGCCATTATGCCGCGCCTGAAGAAGAACTGCCCTCGAAGTTTTGTCCTTTACAAAAAAATAGGTTTTATCAAAAACGGCAACATAGTTGTTATCAGCACACAATTTTTGAATGGAGATTAAATTGAATTTAATTCGAGGCACATGAAAAACAGATCGTAGTGTCAATGGGCAATGGGCGACTTAGAGTGTTTAATGTAATATTTCCAATATTAGCAATGGGAAGTTTAGTGCCATTCGCAACACTAATAGTCATGGAACCAGTATAAGAGGATTTATTTGACAAAATATCTTCAGATGATGTCATGTGAGCAGAGGCACCGGAGTCCGGATACCACAAAACCTCGTTGGATTCCCCTGTAGAAGCAACCAAAGCAGGCACAGACTGCTGTAGAAAACGAGATGGACATAGCATGGAAGAGTGACCTGCAGAGAAACAAATTTGACACACAACAGGACATGGAACAGATCCAAGGATTCCCTCAACTGATGGAAAACCTGCAAGATGAGAGTGAGTACCAAAAGAAGATTTAGCATGAATATTTAAAGTGGACAAGACAGATTTACCCTGCGGAGCATTGTCGGGTCTCGGTGTAAAAACACCCCCTGCGGCCGAACTAGGAGCAGCGGCCTGGCGTCCCTGCTGGCCGAATGGATGTTGCTGCGGCTGGACGAACTGGGGTTGTCCGAAGGGCTGCTGACCTCGGCCTTTGTCGTAGCCTCCTCTGCCGCGGCCTCCTCTACTGTGGTATGCTGGGGAGTTCGCAGGTGCACTCTGCTGGCCGGATCCAGTGTGAACGCCAAAAGCTGGCTGAAAGTGGGATGAATCCTGTTGGCGTTGAAACAATAGATGGCGTTCCGCCTCAAGTAGCCGGTCGTGAAGAATATCAGGCGCAAAGTCATCAGGAAACAAAGAGATCGTCCCTACAACAGATTCATATTCCGGTCTTAGTCCATATAAAGTACTTTGTAACACCTCTTTGGGAGTTACAGGAGAATTAATTGCATTTAAAGCCTCAGCCAAGTTTGTAATCTCACGTAAGTAATTTTCCATAGACTAATTTTCTTTCTTTTTGATTGAATTCAAAGTACGCTTAAGTTCCATGGCACGAGGTACGCTAGCGGACATAAATCGATTTTGTAAACGATCCCATACACGAGATGAATTTTTAATGGTATGCACATCAGTTAATACATCACGATGAAGAGTAGCAAACAACCATGAACGAATTGTTTGATCTACTCGAAGCCAATGATAGTAATCGATATTAACGATTTGCTGATTATTAAAATTCACCGTATACATGGGAGGTACCTGAATTGTGCCATCCACGATGCCAAAAAGACCTTGAGACACCAGGAAAGCTTCAAATTGTGTGTGCCACGTGAGATAGTCGTCAATAGCTTTAAGTTTAATGGTGACAATCTGGCTGACATTAGCGATGTCATGGGAGACTGATTGCGCCATCGAAGCGAGAGGAGAACTGAAGGGAAGAGAGTCGTGCATAGCGTCTGGTGTGCCAGCAAAAGTTGGTCCAAAAAACGGAGAAGAAGGCGGTTGCACCGGTCGAGAGACTGCCGGAACCGAAGACCAGGGAAACTGAGGCGGCAAACTGTTGAAGAGGCTGTAAGGAGAAGGTGGCATCCAGAGAGAGGAGGTTCGGCTATTGTCCGGCGAAGGGAGCACCGGCTGCAGCGATTGAGAGAAAGCAGCGCCAGAGGAAGGAGGAGGGAGGAACGTCGAAGTCTGATTCGGCAATGGCTGTGGTGCCACGGAGGTTGGAATCACAGATGTAGTTGTCGCCGTCACCGGCAAGGTAGTGGCGGTGGATTCCATGGAGGCTGCGGCGACGGTAGAAAGAGAGGCAGCCGAAAAAATAGAATTAGCCCTAGGCTCTTGATACCATGTGAGAATATTTTGGGAAAGGTACTCCAATAGGAGTCCTGGTCTGTATATTTATAATAAGAAGAGTTCAAGACATACTAGGAAACAAATATTCCTAATAATATTCTATTAATAAGCTGGCAGATAGAGAGTGAGGTTATGACTGTGGTACTTGCAGAGGCCTATGCATGGATCCCATTTTATAAGTTGTATGTGTTGGTGGAGATTATCCGGATAAACCTGCAAACAAGCGTTAGATTAATAATATAGCTCGAGTCGCGTAAACGTTGTCCTCAAGAGAGTATTTCCGACTAGCGAAAACGTTTCCCCAAGATAAAACGAGCTCTTCGGCGTAAGCCGGTAACAGAAGTACATAACAACGAGAACACAAAACAAATATTAATCCAACAGTTAGAAATGTTATGCAAGGGATTTTTAGGTTCGTAGCTACTCTATAAAAATTAGCAAGGTAACTGAATGTACATATACACATAAAAGAATGTTGGCTGCTAATAATGTTTAAAGACTAAAGAATAATATACTAGTATATAGTTTCGCAAACATCTGCTACCATGCTTATATGGACCCAACCACAAAGATTGAACGTTCATGTACCATTAATATACTTTTAATATTAATACTTAAAGCCAAAGAAAAGTAACGGTTTTCAAAGTCTAGATAATAATAATATTATTATTGAAATATAATTTAGTAATAGCAACTCCACAATGTATGTACCACCATGATATTGTTATGACTAGTTATATGTTTTTGCCTTAATTATGCATTATGTATTTTATTTTTATACTTTTTATATGTATCGCTTTTTATGAGAAAGTTATGCTCCGCTTAGTGCTAAACTCCAACTCGGATTAAAAAAGTTAGTGTTTACTACATAATATTTAAATTTAGGGAAAAGAGGCAAATAAACCCTCGAACGAACCAAAAAAATGCAAATCACCCTTTTTATAAGAGGCTCTGTCCGACTGTCGCCATTTGGGGTGGTTACCAGTGGAATTTTTTTATTATTATTTTTTAAGCATTTTCTTCATTAAGTCTAGTTTACTCATACCAAATTTCAGCTAAAAATGCAACTGGGAAGGCAAAGACAAATAATTGTTTGAAGATAACTGCGCAGTTAAACAACACAATATATTTCAAAAAATCATTTGACTGTCTTCCCGATTGAATTTTTAGCTGAAATTTGGTATGGGTAACCTAGACTTAATGAAGAAGATTCTCAAAAAAAATTCATCAAAAAATTCCACCGAGAACCTACCCAAATGACGACAACTGGACAGAACCTTCTATAAAAGGGATGATTTGCATTTTTTCGGTTAGTTCGAGTGCTTATTTGCACCTTTTCCCTTAAATTTAAATTACTAGAATTGTGTATTCACCTGACTTCCAAATTTTCTTGTACATACTATTCCGTCCGTCCCTCAAAATTTTGTGAAATTTTCTTTTTGAATTGTCCCTCAAGATCGGGATTAAGATCGCTAACTCGTAAACTCGTGCCTGAGATATGAAAACGCTGGGAGATCATTGGATGGACAGGTAAACTCGTAAGAACGTAGGATCGTCGATCTTCATCATTCATGCGTAGGGAAAAAATACGACTCTACTAGTTGGATTTCCGAAGCGACTCTCAGAGTTTTCAATTTTTTTAACATTTACGCAAATCCCACTCCTCAAGCAACGCACCTGACCGACACCTTCTTCAGTGTTGCCTACTTCAATAAAATCTTTGTCCCACCTCCAGTTCTCCTTATAGGGGAGTTTGGATTTGATTCTTAAAACTGCTTCTGCTTCTTCAGGGAGCAGAAGCAGAAGTTGAAGTGTTTGGGTAAAAGTGCAGAAGTGATTCTGGTGCTCCAATTTACTCCTAGAATCAATTTTTTTAGAAGCTAGGGGTGACCAACATCTGAAAACTAATTCTGATTCTGCTTCTGCTTTAAAAAAGAAGCAGAAGCAGAATCAGAATCAGTTCCAAACACCCCCATAATCTTCTTTCAAGTCCTCTCCCGTTCTTCATCCCTCCTCTCTGTTTACTCTGTATTTATTGATAAGCCGCATGACTTTGTATGAAGATGTCTTTTTTAATTAATCTTAAGCTTGTGATGCTAGGTGTTTTATTTTATGTCATTGAAAAATGAGTAAAGGACATTACGTTATTAATATTTGAAAAGTTTTAAATTTATATGTGTGTGTGTGGGGGGGGTAGCTTTGCTTCTAGTATCTTATGATCCGAGTTACGATCCGCTAGTTACGATCTCCTAAATCCCTTCAGATCCGAGCTAGGATCTCGAGTTTAACAACTTTGGTCCCACTAACTTTGCCACTTTCTCTTTTAAGTAAAGAATTTGTGGTTCCAGTTAATTCCACTTTCTCTGCACAAACCTCAACCACACAGTTTTTACTTTATTAATCTCTGTGCCGGTCAAACTTGACCAAGTTTTAAGGGACAATGGGAGTATTTTATACCGTAGTATATGCACATATGTTGTCATTCCTATTGAAGTATGCCAAATGTTGACTGTCAGTATCATTACTTCTTCCTTCTGCTGGCATGGGCCTAACCACAAGGAAGTGCATAAGCTGCTTGCTTACATCCATTATAGCAGCTCTGCCATTTTAGGGAACTGCTGCAGCAGCCAAGCTACGCCCCTGATAGCAACCTGTCAATTAAAAATGGTGGGCTGATAACAATAATACTGGCTAATGTTGATGAGCATATACATGACAATCATATCTTTTTGGATGATCTTGCAGTGCAGGGAATAGTAACGGATGCAGCAACATGTGTATCGAAGTAACATTTTTTTGTTTTAGTCATGAGAGCATTCCCATACATAATGTAACAGAACAGCAGCACTAGCTAAGTAGTTAAGAAAACGTGCCAGTTCACTAATGCAGAAAGACATTTCTTAAATGAGAAGAAATGATGATCACTTGTACTGGAGCTAAATTTCCAAACTGATCCCGCCAGATCCTGTTTATGCTACTCATACCCCTCCACAATACCCTTCTCAGGCACTAGGCCCCAGTCTGCCACCCACCTAAGGCCCAACAGTTTTCAGAAAACTGAATTTATAGTGTCTCAACTTTTACAATTCAAAAAATATTCTTGTTTTACTGATGCAGCACCATTAAAAGTGTAATGTATTATGTATATGTGGCTCCAATAATATACTCCATGTGGGGAGAATAGAGTACTATAGAAGATACATACCAAAGCTGTTTCTCCGGGCTTAAATGTAGGTTCAACCCCGTCTCTGCCATATCTTGTAAAAGGAATGAGATTTGAATGAAAAGCAGATAATCAAAATACACACACAACACACACTGACAGAGACAGACAAAACAAACAATATTAACCATTGTGAAAAATCTTATTTATGTAAAGACAATACTCAGGCAGTTCTTTTCAAATTGGTTTTAATTTAGTAGCAACATGAAGCATGGACACAAGATGAAGAACATCTGGGCTCCTGCATAAGCATCAGATAGGTATAGGCATAGCCGCATAGGTAAAGAAAATCTCAAGCCATACATCATTCAATTTGATTATTACATCCAATTACATGATCTAGGTCATGTTCCATGTCTGAATGTAAATATCACCAAACCAATCTTTTATGAGACATGACCATAACAACTATTTTAACATATTGCCATTTATCTGCAAATGGAAAAACTTATGATGAAAATTTTCTCTTATTATCCCTTTGTTTTCAAAACTTATAATCCCATATAATGAGAACAGGATGGACGAAATGGAAGAGATCATCAGGATTTCTATACGATTGAGGTATACCGACTAGACTGAAGAGTATATTTTATTGGACAAAAATTAGACCTTAAAAAGAACGCTTAGGAAATGAGACAATTAGGCAAAAGGTGAGAGTAACACCTATTGAGTGATACAACTATTAGACAATTTAAGATGTGTGAAGAAGAAATGGGAAGGAGAGAAAAAGGAAGACTCAAACAGACGTGGATTAGAGGAGTTAGGTGTGATAAGCTTCTTCTTGGGTTTGTTGAGAGTTTGACTTTGAAGAGAATAAAAGTGCATGATGGGTATTCGTGTGGCGTATTGATCTTTTATCATCCCTTTTTACCTTTATCTTCTTTATCATTCTTATACTACCTCCGTTCTCTTTTAGTTGCAACATTGGACTTTTTGCACTATTCACATATTCTACTTTGACTATATTTTATTAATTAATGTATTATAAATTAAATTTTTTTAAAATATTGTTAAATTCTTCTCATTCTAAATTTTCAAAATATGAATTTTTTAATTTTTGTACTAATAAGGAATGAAAGATATTAATGGTCAAACTTGTGTGTTGGCAAACGTGAAATGTTGACCGTTGCAATTAAAAGGGAACGGAGGAAGTATTATTTATTCTTTTCTTTTTTTAATATACACACACATATACACACACATATACATATACATATACATACATATACAGAGGAGTATTCATGTGTGTCCGGCCGCACCACAGGGGCCGTCCGGCCGACGGCTTTTGGCCGCCTTTCCGGTGGAATTTTTTGATGAATTTTTATTGCATGTTGTTCATCAAGTCTAGTTTATGCACACAAAAATTCAGCTAAAAACTCAATCCGGAAGGTTGTCAAATGATTTTTTGAAGTTGACTGCATTTTTTGTGTGTAATTTTGCACAGTTAACTTCAAAAAATCATTTGCAGACCTTCCGGATTGAGTTTTTAGCTGAATTTTTGTGTGAATAAACTAGACTTGATGAAGAACATGCCATAAAAATTTCATCAAAAAATTCTACCGGGAAGGCGGCCAAACGCCGTCGGCCGGACGGCGCATCTCCTGCGGACGGACGCACCAGAACATACACACACATATACATACACACACATATACATATACATATACATATTCTTTTTATTTTTTATCCTTTTTATCTTATCATTTTTATGTATATATCTTATCTCTAATTTATCTTATATTTTTTATCATACCTTATCTTTTTATGTTTCTTTGCCATTTGGCTCCAATATCATGTATCGATTCAATGTTATTGTTGGTCCCAAAATCTTTTGTGTCTAAGACTTGAATATTTTTGTTGTTGTATCCTTTATTGTAAAAAGGTTGCCATAGTCCAAATGAATATTTTTCTATGTTCGTTGGGATGAATATAGGTATAGTTTGGTAGAACGGAACAACATGTCATGTAATTCAATATACTTTTAGCGTACATTTACATTACACATATTTCATTATGTCTTACAACACTGCACATTATAGGATAACTAGATTTTCGACTATGGGTGCAAATGAGTCGAGCCGAGCCTGAATCTATGTAGGCTCAAGCTCAAACTTGAAATATATTGTATTGGCACGAGCTCGGCTCGACCGAGCTTAAAAAATCGGGGCTCAAACTCGTCTCGCAAATATTTAGTGGGCTCGATTCGGCTCGATTGACTCGATAATTTGGGTTCCTCAACTCAAAAGTTAACTCAAAAGTTACAAGTTCGATTAGTTCGAAAGTTCGGGTTCGAACAGGAGCTCAAGTATGAAACAATCTTTGAATATTTGTGCTTAACATTCGCAAATTACAATTTACATGCCCAACAACTAAAAGTAGAGTAAATGTTATCCAAAATTAATAAAAAATGGTCAAACCATGAAAATTAAACTGAAACCGGAGTTACGAGAACGAAAAATAAACAAAATATATCCTAACGTAAATCAAAAGTGATCGAACCATGAAAAAATAGTGGATGAAACTTGGATTATTTTTGTTAAATTACTTTATAATTAATAATATCTTCCCGATCCTCATATACATTATATATTAATTTATATTGTATATTAATATTATATATATACAAATATACACACATATAAAACTAGGCCTGCGAGCTAGCGAGCCTTAAATTAGTAGGCTCGTTTATGGATCGACAGCTTAACGAGCATGCTCGAGCTCGAGTTTGACAAAACCCGATTCGAGCATTGATGGAGCGGCTCGGCTCATTAGCACCCTTATTTTAGACAATTAATTGAGACTGAATTTCATGCTGTTGACCCACCATAGTCGGGATTAAGGGGGTAATGATGATGATGTTAGTATATATGTCCTAGCGACAATCACTTTTTAGAGATATATGTACTTGATCACATTCAGTTTTATATATTAGATATATACGGTATTACACATTGATGATTAAGTATTTCGATTGTCAATATTTTATTCATAATTGTGTTCCCTTGGGATATTAAGTAGGCGCTTATATGATATCACATAAGGTCCTAAAATAGCCCCAATCAATAATCATCGAGAATGGGATATTAATGAGGATGTGATAAGATTAGTATGTGGACCGCATCATACTTTTAGAAAGTATAGTTGATATCACAACTATGAGTTCCTGTAATTCATGATGGTCACATAGATATTTTAGAGAATATTGGCATGTCCACCGAGAAACCATTTGATAAGTTTTATTCATGTGTCTATGGGATTATCGGCGTATAGAGTAGTGTAATAGTCATCCGACTTGAGGTCATTACGTACTACATGTGTAGAGTGATGTACTTTGACCATGACCAACGCTTGCACTCCAATCGGGGTAGATACAACATGTGTTGGGTGCATCACGAAGCACATGGAGTAGTAGTTGAGCCAAGAAAGGATTCATTCCACATAATAGATTAAGAGAGAACATTCTACTTCTCATATCCAGATGGATCATAAAGTCATTGGTCAATGCAAAGATGTATTCGTTTTGGATATCAAATATGATCGTTATGGATCATCTAGAAAGATTGAGAGACAGAGACTAAGTTATTGGAATAGACACAATATCATGTTCTAGACTTGGTTGAATGTTCGTTGAATGAAAGGACCGTATCACTATGAGCTCTATATTACAGGGAGTTTGAATAGTCCTCTCAAACGTCCTTATATATTAAGTTTGTCTGATAAATCATCTAGGGATTCTACTAAGACCTTCATTTGAGTAGTGCTTAATAAATAAGGCCCTATGGGTCACACAATAAGTGATTATACATTCCGATTAAATTGTTAGAAGGAATTAAATATTATTAATTGGATTAAATAATATTTAATTCATAATGCTGAAAATAAGATGAGTTAATTATTAATTAGATTAATATATTTAATTCATCATGTTGAAGGAAAGTTCTATTTATTAGAATTAATTAAGTTTGATAAATTAGATTTATTATACTTAATTAAGATGTAACTTTAATTAAATAAAGTTGGTATTTTCTTTTATAATTTAGAATTAAAAGAAAATAGAAAATGAAATAAATAATACTTCCTCCGTTCTTAAATAAATGCAACGGTCAACATTTCACACTTGCCGAGACACAACTTTGACCATTAATATAAATGATTTTGTATTAGTAAAAAAATTAAAAAAAATTAGATTATGAAAATTTACAATGAGACAAGTTTAACAATATTTTTTTCATAAAATAATATTATTACATTAATAAATAAAACGTAGTCAAAGTAGAACACGTGAATAGTGTAAAAGTCAAAGTGTTGCATTTATTTAAGAACGGAGGTAGTAATAAATAACAAGCAAAGTGACGTGCAGCCACTTTGATATTAGCCTAAAGGGTCAAATAGGTCCTTGTACCCTTTCGGATTGCTCAATTTGCCCTCTCAACCCAAAAAAGCTCCAATTGGCACCCTGAACTCGATAAAAATATTCAAATTTCACTTTTTGCAGGTTTCAATTCGGTCACCGCCATGTCACCCGGTAGGATGCCAACTTAGGGGGTCAAATAAGCCCCTGAACCCGATCGAATCGTTCAATTTACCCCCTCAACCCTAAAAAATGTCAAAAAAAAATTAAGGGTTGAGGGGGTAAATTGAGCATTTCAGTCGAGTGATGTGGCGGTGACCGGCTTGTGACCTGCAAAAAGTAAAATTTGAATCTTTTTAGGGAGTTCAGGGTGCCAATTGGAGCTTTTTTTAGTTCGGGGGGCAAATTGAACAATCCGGAAAGGTACAGGGGCCTATTTGACCCTTTAGCCTTGATATTATTATTAGTTTATTTTGTTTTACTTATTTAATTAATAAAATCGTTAATGATAAGTATTGGTCCTGGTAGGACTAGAACTCATTAATGAGAAAGACTTTCATTGTGATTGGGAAACTAGTTTAGAACTAGTATAAATACATCCTTCTCCTTCATAATTGAGTGACCAGTTTTTGAGATTCAGTATTACCAGTTTATTTCCCTACGAAGAGATTTCCTAGCCTTTC